TGGATATTACTGTACAGTTAACTGATTTTAATTTAAAAGTACAAGATAAAAACAAACTTATCACTCAGTTGTATGATGACATCAAGCACTTCATTACAAAACTAAGCTTATGGAAGTCACAGTTGTTAAATGAAAATTTAGTTCAATTTCCTACGTGTAAAGAGCAGAAAAACACTGCCAATACTGAGATTGTACTTAGCTTTGCTAAGAATGACAGTCACCTGGAATTATTGTCAACATCATTGAACATCATTTTGCATTAATCTCTGCACCGTTCACCTTTGATGTTGCCAAGACAGCCTGCAGATAGAACTATTGCAGTCAGATTCTACACGCAGAGCAAAGTATCTTGAAGTAGGAATACGTGGGTACTTTTTATATCTTCCTGCTGCTGCTTTTTGTTTTTTTTACTGCTGCTGCTGAAGCCTTGCTGTTACTTCTCTTTATTTACTAATGACGTCTATATGGTATTTATTTCTATGCTGGGCTTGCTGAGGAGGCCCTAATAGTCCAACATATATGCTGATTCCTTCAGACATTTGACTCTCCAGTGTTCTTCTCCATCTAGTATTTTTACTTTATTCTACGGGGTTTATAGTGACCATCTTTTCCATCCATACATGATCAGCCATGCCTGATTCAATTGTCTTGCCCCAAATTACAGGATTTTGATATTATTATTGACTTGTTTTTTAATTTTGTTGTCAATCAAAATATAGACAATAGATTCAATGTAAACAATTGAATAAAAATAAAAAGCAAGATTGTTTTGTTTTTTTAAGAGTTATGTGAAACCGGGTGAAAGGGAAGAGGACACCATAACAAGCACCATATTGGGGGAAGCCAATATGGAGGTCTATTTTAAGCAGTTTAAAGAACTGTTTTGACTACAACCATTTTTTTTTAACCTGGAATTTCTAATTGGTCAAGGGTAGATATCCAGCTAATCTAAGAGGCATGAACCCACCTTATTTGATGATGGTTAGAAGGAATTAAATAAATGTGATTATGAAGTTGCAATGTGAAAGGCTGGACAAAGAGGCAACCAACCAAAATTGGAAAAATGATTGAGAAATAAAAATCCTTAATCCCCAAATTCTGAGGACCCATTCCCTCTAAGAATTCTCAGTGTAATTTTTTTGATTTTTGCCCTCAATTAGTACACTTGAGATTTTGCAGAATAAGTGATACAGACTCAACAGTGTGCTGCTTGGCAACACCCATCTCTGACCTGACCTCCACTTGCAAAATTAAATGTTTAGCTGAAGAACCAAAGAGAATGGCAAAATACTAATTTCAGAATTTCCAGCCAAGTGAAATTCAGAGGATACAATTTGCCAACTACTTTTGCTTTAAAGCACAACACAGCTCCCTGCTGATGCCAACTCTGCTTTCCTGTACCAATACATTTTGTTTGTTGCTGTAAAAAAAAAAAGTCACACAGAAGTTAGTGATGAACTGTAACTTAAGAGGCATGGTACTTCAACCAGAAAAGGTTAAGTCAGTGCTGTAACTCAGGCTGAATAAATGCAGTGTTTTTTAAACATGCATTTTTGTAATTTTTAAATCACCATTTTTTCTTTTGATCAAGTACTCTCAAATAAACAGACATTTTGATCAACTCCACTAAGATACTTTTTTAGTTAAAATATATACAACATGGTTAGAAGGGTTGACTAGCAAAGAGATACCAGTCCAGCAAGTGAGGATGACACTGTAATAAATACTAATAAATTTTTAGAACATAGCTGTAAACATCAAGTAAATTTTCTTTTCATCTTTAAGATGAAAAATGATTATTAAAACTGGAAAATGTTTCTCACTGTATGAAATCACCAAGCATTACCTTGTAATAGTAGTTGTAATATTCTTAAGTTGACTTTGAAATTAGGCCATCCTCATGTAACATAGTTTTTGTTTTTAGTTTTTTGTTTTTTTTAAAGCAAGGTGGGAGTGCCACTAGCACGCAAGGGGGTACAGAGTGTGAGAGCAAGAGTAAAGAGAGGTGTTTGAGGAAAAGATAAAGAGAAGGATGGGGATCAAGATCAAGGCATCATAATATGTCAATTGACATTACATTTGAATATTTAAAGATTATAGCTATCAGGGAAGCAAGTAAGAGGAAGTGAGTTCCAGTGTCGGGAAGTGTGAGATAAGAAGCTGTTGGAGTAGAAGAGACGGTTACATTTAACCAATTCAACAGTGAAAGGGTGGGACCGAGATGCCAACCTAGTAGTACACATAAATTCATGCAGTTTGGGTACCAGAGAAAGTAGTTTGTCAGAGCAGTTGCCATGAAAATATTTGTAGAAAAGATATATATATATATATATGGAGACCTTTCTTTTTCTTAAGAAAGTATTGACTCAAAACTTATCAAATATTAACATATGAAATCTGATCATTTTTTACCTTCCAAAATGATGAAAACTTGTAAGGAACACTTGTAATACTAAAAAAAAACATTTTTTGTGGATTTAGTTACATGACAAGCATTTAAGACATATGTGACACCACAGAATTCACTATGTTAATTCATAAATACTGCAAATGGCCATCTGGAAATTATGAAAGCTACTGAGTAACATTTATATATATATATATATATATATATGACTGGCATGTACTACCACCAAACCGGGAAGGGCCAAGACTGACTGGGAGCCCTGGGCAGAACTTTGTGATACTTGCTATCTTATCAATATTTGCTTTTCTCTACCTACATTGATCTAATTTATATTTAGATATATTGAATTTGTTTTCAATTTTACTAGTTGAATTATTTACCTATATTGCATATGATCCATTATTGTACATAATTAGGTTACAATAAAATTTGTATTTTATAAGAATACTACCTTATGAAAATTGAGATGGAGTAAAGTGCCGAGGCCCTGTATCATAGCTTTGGGAGTGAGCACAAGACCCTTGCACCAGTCCTGTGTGTATATATATATATATATATATATATATATATATATAAAATCCACAGATAGACTGTTTTCCTGTATCACACTGCATCAGTGTGGCTAGATATCCGAGCAATTTGGCATCAGTCAGAGATTCTCACCCCTAGGCTGTCAGCACACAGCAGAGAGAAAGGCTAACTTTTGCATATTTATTTTTTCATAAACACGCCAGTGACCTAGAGGACTCAATACATTGGGAGAGTCTTGCATTATTAGCAGTAATAGTTACTGTTTATAAGTTTGTGCTTTCTCCCTTTTTTTGGGACGGGGAGCTAATATTGTCATCCATAGACAGACTGTTTCACTGTATCACAGCTCATCAGTGTGATTAGACACAATCACTTCAAGCTGGGCTCGAAACCCAACCTTTTTGGCATCAGTCAGAGATTCTAACTCCTAAGTTATTGCCCAACGGAAAGACTAATTTTTGCATATTTATTTTTTTCATAAACACGCCAGTGACATATATATATATGCACGCACACAAAGTGCAATGAGTAAATTGTCGCCATTTTATATTTTTTAATTTTGTGTATGTGCATTGTTTGTTTTTTGATTTTGTCAACTGCACAGTATAGTTGGTTCAGTGAGAAAAAGACCACCATGATACAATTCACTCCACTAAAAATTGTGTGGCATGGTGCAGAGTCCTGTTATCAGTCATGGGGTCTTCCAGCAGCCACCCTCTTGAAAAAGAGCAGTACTACTGCCTCAAGGCACTTGATGTTGGTCTCCATGTTGAGTCTGGAGCCCTGTGAGAAGATGAATGGGGGCATAACATTGCCATCACTAGTGATCACTCCAAACATCATTATCTTGACTGAATATATCCTCCAACTCTTTTCAAATCCTCTGCACTGTCCTGAGGTTGACACCTAAACACTCTAAAATGTTTGTATTGGAGCTTCTAGCGTGAATGCCAAGCAGTAGAGCATGCCGTTTCCAAATTTCTGTCAAAGTGAATTGCATCATGATGCTCTTTTTTTCACAGACGATGCTCAGCTGACCCTACTATACTGTGCAGTTGACAAAAATTAAAAACAAACAATGCACATACTCAAAATTAAAAGTAGAAAATGGCAACAATTTACCCATCGCACCCTGTAATAAGCTTCCAATGAAATTCAAGCTGAAGATCCATACTTCATCTTTCAGACACAAAACTATTTTGATCATGAAAACTTTCAAGAACAAGTTGGCATCTTATCTTGAAGTCATTCTATATCCTCTCTCTGATTTTTCTGCGCTATTTTTGTTGTTTATTTCCCAGTTGTAGTAGCAATGAGCTTCAGACATATGGCATGTAATTTTTTAATTCCATTTTCACCCTCTTTAATGGCTGAAGATAGGATTGGTTAAAATCTCTCTTTATCTTTTCGGTCTGCTCAAGATATGGTTTTCCACAAATGATCTGCCTCTTGTTATTCTCAATAATACTTTCTCTATACCACCCCTTGTTCTCTTTGTGGCACTTGTTTTTCCATCTATTTACACAATCTTGTCAAATAGGTCACTCACTACTTTGTTTCCCTTGCCTTTAATGTATCTTGTGAGTGTCAAATTCTTCAAACCTTCTTTCCTTATTATGCATCCCTAAAATTTAAGCTGTCTTTTTCTGATTGTTAGCAACCATTTATTTGTAGTTCATATTCTTAGAACTTCTTCAATTATTGTATTTTCCTATCTATGACATCCTCATCAATATTCTAGAACCACATCACAAAGTCTTCTTTTTTTTTAAATTTATGATGAAATTGTTCAGCACTCACTGCCATAAAAGTAGACAGGCATTACATTGGTTTCTCACACTCTTTTCATTTTTTATGGTGTTTACCTTTCTGAAAGTATTTTTTATTGTTTTTATGAACCTTTGGGTTTCTGTATCGCTCACTCTGTTGTCCATTACTACACGACCGAGAGAGTTGGATTTCTTCACTTGATTGATTTTATGTCCCAGATGTACAAAATTCTTCTGTAAAAAAACGAAACAAACAACTCTTACTTTTGGTGGTTTTGTTTCTGTCTTTTTAGAGAATTGGTACGGAGAACCAAATCAAAGTCATCAAACATGTCTGCAGACCTGATGGGTATGAAGGAATCCTTTAGCTTTATGGTGCAAAAGGTCCAGCCATGGATCCTGTCTCATTTTATGATTTGGTTGGATCTCAAAGTGGCTGAATACAAGGTACATGGCCACATGATTTTGGGTAAGTAAATAATCTGCTGTTTAGGATTTGGGGAGTGGGGTAAATAGGGTAGCAAATATGAAAATTGGAATTGGTCAACAATTCAAATTCTGGTCATTCTAGACTCCATTAGTCTTGGAAAATGTTAGGAAATTTCTTCCTTTCCAAATCCTGATAATCTCTGATTTTCAATGTAACAAATGGATTTTGTTATTTATAACTCTAAATATCTCTGGGCTTCTTTGATATTTTCACTTTTCTAGTATCAGTTCATTTCAAATTTTTGTTGTTTAAAACTAATTTTGTTGTCATCTGTTCCTCAAGTCAATTTTCATGTGACAAACAAATGATTTTACACAGATATGGACTATTATAATTTTTTTTTTTTCAATGATATATAATAATTGCAAAATATGTTTCAGTAATATTTTGCGCAGATGCGGATGTCTATGTGTCTACCTTTTTCTTATAATGCCTCTATCTGCTGTTATCAGCTTTACTCATATCCAAGAATTTAATTTCTCCTTTGCTGATTGCTTTCTTTATGATGATGGCATTGATGACTAAATTTGCTGTTAATGTGCAGGCTCAGAACTAGAAGCTTCCAGTTTCACCAAAGCCTACTCCTGTCATCCATTCCCTATCATCCTTTGGCATTACAAGAGTTGATTGGAGGTGAAAATGTAGAAGAAAATTCCGATGGCATAAATTTATTGAAGATGGAACTCAATTTGCTAGGAAGTGACCCACACACTTGATTTCATGACCTTCCTCTGCAGCACATATGTAGTGAAATATGCACAAATCCAATTATGAAACTGCAATGTATTGCTACTGACTGTTTAATTTTGAGTGGCGTCTTCTGTAGCATGTCCATCATCTACTGGTTCAACCATTGAGATCTTCTGTAATCGTCATCCACTTGTTCCGCCATTGGGGTCTTTGGGCTTAGTCTGGGTCCTCATCCTCGACCTTGCTCTTGCTACCAAGAGTAGCCCTACCAGGAGTTTAAAACTCCCGACAGCATTGTCATTGAACCACACAAGCCTCTTCACCACAACAAGGATCAACCACCAGAGGTATGCTACAATACACCATATAACACAAGGATTTTAATAAATTTAATAAAAATTTAATCCTTTCACAAAACTAAGAACGACTTTCATATCTACTAACAAAATCTTCTGAAACTTTCAGAAAATAAAATGATGATGTGGTTACACCTGAATGAATCGAGATAACCTGAATGTCATTATTATCTGGATTACAGCTTCACTCCTGGGCACGTGGCCGAGTGGTTAGAACGTTTGCATTCTGACCATGAAACCTGGGTTCGAATCTCACCATAGTCAATTTGTCAGGAAATCTCTTTCCTGATGTTATTGGATCCCAGCATGCAGCACCTTTTGAAAGTGCCTGAAAACCATACCACGGGCTGGCCCGAGCCTTGTGGGTGAAATTGGGTAGACGGAATTCTTGGTGGGGCAATTGATAGCTGTGCTAGCATGAAGTCAGTAGTCATTTTGGCCGAGGGCTTGAGTGTGCTGGCCTTGTTCAAATTGTTGATCATGCTAGATAATGCACTCTTTTCCAAAAACTGTAACAAAGGTCTGTTCAGCATAGTTGCAGTATAAACCACAGGTGGGCTCTGTGGGTGTTGAATAAACCCAAATGTGCCTGAATAAGTGTCTGCAACAGGGATTGACTAGCTGCCCTAGTAGACGGGTATCCTTGAATATGAGTGGCCAGCTATACAGCTTCACTCTCTTTATCTATATTTCTTTAACTTTATTTATAAGTTACTGAAATCACTTGTTTGCACAGATGACACTGAAATATGATATGTATCATTCCTAATTTTCTTATTTCTCTCATCAAAACATTTCTGATTAAACTGAGTAAATTCAGCATTCCTTTTGCTTACAAAATCCTCCAATTTGTTATACCATTATGGTTGAAAAATAGTAAAAAAAATGTTATTCAAATGAAAGTAAAAATTTAAAAAACAAGTCACATGGATGCATCTATTAAAAGAATTGCTTTACCAATCAATCTCTTTTGCTAAAGAGCGCAAGAAGATCTAAAATGGCAGGTTTAATATGGCATACATACAAGGTCTGTCTGAAAAGTAACAGGATTGGTCTCACAAATAATATATTTCAATTCCAAACAACAAACCACATGGTTTCACCTTCAAAGTAACCTCCTTATGTTTAATGCACTTTTCCATCCTTCTCTAACAAGCAATTTATTATACCATTTACTGACTAACATCAAAATTATCTGTCATTCACTCGAGTGGATTTTTAAGGGCACAAATATAAAATAGTGGAATTTCACAAATATATGTAAAAAAAAAAAATAAGTGTATAATCAGTTCTACCACTTCGTCCCCAGCCCCTCAACCTCTGGGTTGAGGTGTCCACTCAGTCAGAACCGAACTTAGGGGTAACTGGCCGTATGCTCCCTGAGTACCCGTAGATTATTTCGACCGGTCAACTGGTCAAGTCCTGCTCGCTGCCCACGCTGTGTTAATTTTTAGATCCAGTAAGCGGGGTATTGTCTATACGTTCATGGTCAACTGGGGATATGGACACGGCTGTGAGATTGGCGGTAGGAAGTTTAGAATGTGGCAAAATAAAACAAGAACTAATATCTGCAGAAGCCAGACAACAATGGGGGAAATATTGACGTCTTTTATATAAGAAGATAACATCAGAACAGAGGTTACAAGGAGAATAAAAACATTTAACATAAATGAGAAAATAAAAAAGACAAAATGCATCCAGCGTATTCCCAACAGAGAGAGGGTTTGTGTGTGATAAACATGTATTGAATCGCCTGGGGTATTTATGACTAATAGTCCAGTCTAATACAAACTTCTCAGAACAGGGGACAGTCTTCTCTCTTCCATCTGGCTTGTAGCACCGCGACCCATAATGGTCGCCTGCGGGTGCTCACGCATGTGACGACGATGTGCCGACCGATCACGGTCTCTCCCGTCCAGTCTGGCCTCTTCCATCTCGCTTGACCGTCTGCTTCTTCTTCAGCATAACTATGCGTTTATATAGATAAATCTGGTTGATCATGAATCAACCCTTGGCCTGGCATGCAATTATCATGAGTGCCAAAACCTATCCCTTGACATGTAAACCTATTCTCCAATTATTTACCTTATCTCAATAACGAGTTCTTCTCGCTTCACCAAAATTATACTTTGGGATATCTAAACATTGATTCAACCTTTTGACCAAAACAAATACTGTTAAACAAAACCAAGTATCTCGCCCATCCCCATTGTTTACTAGTGACCCAGATTTAAAACATCACCTCCTGTACTTCATCGGTAAACACACATCTTAACCCAAATTGTACTTTGATATATAAACACCATTTCCACTTCCAGTCAATAAAAGTTATATTTGCATGTGTGCATTCATGTGGGTGTATGTATACCTCTCTGTTACACAGTGTGCAATATGTATGACTGTATCAATAGCACATGAGAAATCCTATTCTATTCCAACTTATTAAAAACATTGAAAATTGGAAGAAAGAATAACTTGCAAGATGGTTTGCTTTCTACAGATGACTGGTGTTTTATTAATTCAACATCATCAAATTAATTGCCCACTCATAAATGAAATTGGTCTCTAAGGTAACTCTTTAGCCAAGGAAATGATTTTATGGCTTGAAGCATACATATGAGGTCTGTCTGAAAAGTAATGGGATTGGTTTCTCAAATAATGTATTTCAATTCCAAACAACAAACTACATGGTTTCCCCTTCAAAGTAATCCCCCTATTGTCTAATGCATGTTTCCATCCTTCTCTGCCACACTTCTATGCACTGCCTCTCGGCTGTCCTTACAACTGTCTTGATGCCTTCAAAGCAGGTCTCCTTGATGATCGATCCCCTTGTGCTTGGAGAAAAGAAAAAAGTCACACGGAGCAATCTCTGGTGAATAGGAAGGTTGTTCTAGTGCAGCGATGTTCTTCTTGGCCAGGAACTGCCAGATGCTCAGTGTATTATGAGCAGATGTATTGTCATGGTGAGACAGCCATGATTTGTCCTGCCACAACTCTCATCTCTTGCTGTGCACTGAACAAAGTAAACACCACAGGATCTCTTTGTAGACTTCCTCATTGATTGTCTGGCTCTGTGGAAAGAACTCACTGTAGACAATGCCAAAGAACATTATCAGTCCTGTTACTTATCAGATAGACCTTTTGTGTGTGTGTGTGTGTATATATATATATATATATATATATATATATATATATATATATAATGTATGTACTGTACTTTTTTCACATGCAGAGTTGGGCAGTATAAGATGGAAGTGTAAGTGTGTTATTGTGTGGGGAGAGACTAAGAGTTAAAATCTCTTGCCTAATTTCAAGCTCACAGATTTGAAAAGAATTAGATTTATTTTGATCAAGTGCCTACAATATTATTGTCCTAATTTCAAATTCTTAGCAGATTGAATTGATAACCTGCCTTAATAGTATAATCTGACACTGGGTAACAATAACAATGTCTTTAGTGGGGATTGAACCCACTGCCTATGAGTTTGCAATACTAATTTGCTAATGATCATAATACAATGTTTGAAATACATATTTATACACACCTACAAAAGGGGACTATCTAAAGAAGATTAAATTTTCTAGTAATGGGCTGCAAATCCCCTACTTATATATTTATTAAGCTTAATATAATTTGGGACAATGCCATAATAGTGAAGTTAATGAGAATTGAATTCACTAACAATGGTTTGGAAAACAGACTTGATAACAATCACTACACAGAAGATATTTTTGCTATATATACATATACAAGATCTGATCAAAATGTATTAGGATTGGTGCTATAAAATAAAAACAAAATTACATATCAATTCAGCATTTAATCTCTTTTGGAGTAGTCTCCTTCTGAAGCTACATACTTTATCCAGCATCATTTCCATTAATGGAAGAATTACTGGAACTCTTTTTTGGGGATAGTGAGCAGCTATCTGTTCTCTTGGATTTCCTCGACATGTTGAAATCTTGTTCCTTTCAAGTTGTATTTGATTTTTGAAGAGGAAAAAGTTGTATGGGTCGAGAAATGGGTTGGGAAATATGTTGGTTGTCGGACTTGGGGAATGTTGTATTTGGCAAAAAACTGCTGCACAAGCCACAGTCACTGATGGAACCTCTGTCATGTGGTGAGATGACCACTTTCCTTCCAAGTACTGCTATAAACAACGGAAGTGGGAGAGGGACATTATAACTTAGTGCTTATGCCTGACAGAGATTATGGTCAATCTATGCCGAGCGTTTTCATTCTACATACTTTAGCTCCATTACTATAGCAACAGTCTTGATACTTTTTCATCAGACCTTATATACAAAGTTAAGAAACTGCTAAAAACTATTTCTTATCAGTTATGAACCATACGTGATACACGCTTAGGCAATAATTTATCTTTCGATATATGACTGACCAGGCAGATTTTTTTTCTGCTGTAGGTTGCCATTTCTTTCTGTGGTAGACCAGTTGCCATCCAAGGCTATAGAACCCGGTTGGTCATGCTATTTACCCATATCTGGGAGGAGGAGAAGAAGAGAATTCATATCTTTCCCAAGAGTATTGGCAAATAAGTGAATTTCCTTATAATTATTACTAATATTTAATGTCTTTCTTCAGATCAAACAGGTATTCCATCTCTACATTGGCTCTCAGACAATGTGTGTTCTCAGCCAAGCAAAGCCCCCAGAACACCTTTCAAGGAAAATCATGAACCTGAGGAATTTGAAGTTCTTGATCAATCACAGATGGCAACAATTGCTAAGCAGTATTCCATGTCCTCCCAACCACAACCCTACCACAGTGGTTCTACTCCAAATGTTGAAAATCTTACATCAGCATCTGCACTGAACACATCTTCATCTCTCAGTGTATCTGGACATGATTTTTCAACATCTTCTCAAGTCATTCAGGATTTACCTAATAACTCCAGAAATGAGGAAATTGTAACAAGTTTGATGTCGATCGCATCCCATGAACAACGAAGCCAACTAGTGAATGAAATTGATCTCCAAACACATAACTTAAACACTGTTGCTTCACGGTCCAACTACCAGAATGCAGATGCAATGGTGCCAACCACTGAGTTTACAAGCAAGAACAGCATTGATCTGACCAATGAACCAGAAATCAAATTGGAGCCACAGTCACCTGACAATCTGATTATTCTTGACAATCAACTTTCACTGAATACAAATGAAGCTTTTATCAGAGGAAACCATGATGGAAATGGTGTCATTTCAGGCATGTCTGGTAGCCATCTTTCCAATGCTGAAGAAACCATTCACTTGCCTACAGGAACAAGAACTCTTCATATAGACAATAATGAAGGTAATAATATAATGCTTCCTCTACAGACATCACACACCACACAATCTCAGCAGGATATTAATAATCCAAGAAATGTACATTTATCCCCAGTACCTCTGTCATCTTCAGAAATGTCCCAGGAATTTAACGACAGAATAATTGTGCAGAATGTCTCTACTTTCAAGTTACAAAATACAAGTCGACGGAAAGGTAAGGTTAATTATTTTCTTATCTTTTAATGGCGTTAGCTTTGTTTGCATATTTAGTTTTTTTGTGAAGTTTTATATAAAGATTTATAAAAATATTTTATTGAGAAAATAGACTTTCTTGATTTCAATTATTAACTGTTTATAATAAAATGAACTTCTTTCAGAGCAGCTTAGCATTCTGTTAAAATTTGAGGAATATTGTGTAACATTTCCTCATTATTACATTTAATGTCAGTGTCCATGTTGCTCTACGACTCAACAACATGGACACTGACGAAACACCAAGAAGTATCACTTAACAAAACATACACAAGGATGTTACGAGTTGCATTAGACATCAGCTAGAAGAAACATCCAACAAAGACACGACTGTACAGACACCTTCCTCCTATCTCAGTTTTGCTAAGAGAAGGCTTCGGCTAGCTGGTCACACCTGGAGAAGTAAGTCAGAACTTGTGAGTGATGTTTTCCAATGGAACCCAATGCACTGCAAAAGATCAGTTGGAAAACCTTATCACACCTACTGGAGGACCTGCCAACAGCAATGTCTGACAGAGATGGTTGGAAGGAATGTGTCAGGAGAATTCGAGAAGAATTCTCAACATGATGATGATATTTAATTTGAATAATAATCAATTTCATATGTAATGTATTTGTGAATACTTAATGTTTTATGAAATTTCCACTATGTCAAAAGTAACAGAATACACAGCATCAAGACGAAAAGTAATAACACCTTTCTGCAAAATTCAAACTGATGACCACAATTAAAATTTTAAAAATAACTGATTTTTGGCATTAGTAAAAATCATATTACAACAAGTGTTTTCTACTACATCCTGTCTTGTATCCAAATCCAGAGCCTTCTCACTCCTGTTAGAGGAGCCCCTCCCTGATTAAGCATGTCTTCAAGAGTGTAGCTATACTCACCACACTTGGCTAATTGCAGGTTGGTGAGGTTATTTAACTCATAGTTAGAGTGGAAGGGCGTTGACTCTGAGGAATTCATCTGCTCTTTAACAGTTCTTTCTTTTTTTGTGTGCTGCTGGGGTTCCACTTACCCCCTTCATTACACCAGTGGCTGGTGGGAAAGCTGGTTTAGTCACTAGTTAGTTTTGAATTCAGAATTGTCTTTCTCTCAAGCCAGTTGCCACCCAAGGCTATAGGACCCAGTCTGTCCTACTATTTCCCTATAGCTCTAGAAGAACTGGATTCATAACTTTCCCAAGAGTATTTGCATGTAAGTGAATGTAATAAACTGCACTGGAATTCAAACTCACCTCTCCAGTTCCTCAATCCATGCCATTTTCCATTACTCTGCAATGCTGTCTTGTTACATACACAGATATGCACTGTTCGCTTCCAACTCTCTATGGAGGTAGCCTCCTCTATGTATTAAAAGTGAAAACGATCGTTTATTAGATTTTTGTAAATTTTCAAACATTTATTAGAAATGTCTTGAAGTAACTGGAACTGATTTTTCTTTATCTATTCTTGCTGTTTATATAGAAAACTTTTGGTGCCTAATACGAAATGTCTTGGTGTAAATTTAGAATCTTCCATATTGCCCCAGAAGTTCCTTTATTATCTCAGTGCATATGTTGCTTTTATATTTTGGCTTTGCCAACCTTTTGTTGATTTTCATGAAATTTCATTCTTTTGTAAATTGATTTGTTTTTACCCTTTTTATTTTGTAATCCATGATGTTTCTTTGTTCCCGCTCTTTTCGTTACACAATCTGAATCCAGAATTTAACAGATCATAACATCTATCAGAGAGATGAAATTTAAATTTTTATTATTGCATTATTCCAAAATTTTAAAACATCAGCAGATAGATATTAATGACAACAACTAAGCACAAATAGTTATTAATTAAAAAAAATTAGTAATTAATGTATAATATTATCCATAACTACATCTACAAGTATGTCGTTTTTGATAAAAGTTAAAAATTAACCATAAATACATGAAAAATGCATATATTGTCAAAAATTCTTTTTTCCACAATGTAGCTATTTGTGCTGTTATAATGCTTATTACCTAAACAATAATAATATTGAATAATTTTTTAAACATTAAAGTATATTTAATCATATCTCCCTAATAACTGTCATGATCTGTCAATTAAAATTGCTTGTGTCATCAATTTAGTACAAATTGGTGATCCTAAAATGAATATCAGCAGTAAACTTGTCAGCAATAATATATGCATAAGCTTTAAAATGGTTGTCACAAAGCATATCTATAAACTGTGTAAATAATGTTCATCCCTAATCTCAGAAATTCAGGCTGAAGGCATATTTTCTTTCAAACTTGACAAAAAACAAATTTTTTAATCATCAGTAAATACAAAATCCAACATAAGCATTTTTCAGGACAAACTGACTTGAAATTAATTAATTAAAAATTAATCCAGTGAATATTGGTTTCTTCAATAAATTGATATAAAAAAAAAGTTATATAAACCATTTAAACTTATAATCATTTTTCAGGTTCAATTTCATTGGCAACTGGAAGGTTTAGTAGATCATATTATTGTTCCTCTTTTTCAGCTGGATCTAACTCGAGTGGAAACAAAAAATGGACCTCAAGTAAAGTTAACAACCGCTCTCTTAATGTATCTGGAAGCAAACTCATGTGTCAGACATGTGGCACATTTTTCCGCTGCAGGTCATCGTTATCTCGTCACAAATGGTTACATGGTGAGAAAAGGCACCGATGCTTTATATGCGAGAAAGCTTTTCACCGTAAAGAACATTTGTATCTTCATCTAGAACGTCATGCCAAGTGCAAAATGTGTCACTTGAAAGGTAATAATCTTCAGGCTATTGAAGAACATTTTAAACAGTGTCATCCAAATGCTACATGATGGACTACAAATAAAATCCAGCATTAAGTAAGTCTCTTTGGAGACACCCAAAAAATTGATTATAAAAATAGGTCAATGTTCAAACTATTCATATTGCATTAAAGGTTTACTTAAAATGTTGACCACATAGACTTTGTTTTGTAGGGTAGATCCAGTTTGTCTGTGTCCTTACCCTACCTTCCTACTTAAATTTTGAAGCAAAGTATATTCTTCTCTTAACTCTGTAAATAATCTCCTCAACAACATCTTAGATAATACAAAGGATTTGCTTGTTTTAACAACTTGAATTTATCTGAAAGCAGGAGAAGCAAACCCCACAATTTCCAAATAATTTGTACAAATGTAGCAATCACCTGATGGAAATCTGAACCAACTCCTTTTCAGTACAAATAGGCAATATCTGGAAACCAATAATTCTGGTCTGATAAATAGATCATAAATAAAAACACCCTTGACATATGATGATAATACATGGTTTACAAAACAAATTACTCAAATGAAGAATGGCAAATCTGATTATCATGAACCAGATAATTGTCATCTGCACCTGTAATAAGTCCTACAGTTGCAGTGATACACAATATTGTTTGAAGGTTAGTGGGGAATGAAACGTAAGACAAAAAACATCAAAAAGATAAACAAATTTGACTTTGATTTTTACTTGTGCTTGACAATAAAAACTTTAGTAAAATTTTTAAGAATGTAAATTTTGTAGTAGATGCCAGGAACTTTGTTGAAGACTATTTGTTTTTTTTTTATTTTGTCTGGAACTTCTGGACTGGGATGAAAATATTTTTTGAGTGAAGGGGAAAAATAATTAAAAAGGAAATTTTGTTACAATTTACTCTTCTCTGGTTCAATAGTTATATAAACAAAAGTAGGATACACAATATAAAAGAAAATCTGGAAAAAATATTTATGCAAATGTTGATAAGAAAACAAATATATGTTTGGACCCATGAACTCGGCTGTATGAATTTGTAGTTTGAGAGGGATGTCTGTTGTGTGTCTAGAATTGTACATCTGAGTAGGTGTCTTATGTTGTAACGACTTTTCTTCACATGTACATTCCAGTCAGTCACTGGATACAGTTTTTTTTTTATTAAACTTAATTGTTAAAAGTATTTGTCAACTCTCTGTAGTACTTTCATTGGACTATCAAAGCTGAAGTGGTTTTATTATACAATCATGATAGACAAAATGGAAAGCAATTCAACTACACATTTTACCTCTTATAATAGTCATCTTCAGGTTTGACTGACAGACAAACCCGTGTGGGAGAAAAGTGTTTGAATATAGGAAAGAGGTATAAAGATCCTTATTAGATTCTGCAGCCATAGATATTTGTTTTGTACTGAATTCATTAATGTACCAAGACAACAAGGGGTTACAGAGCATGGAAGAATTAGGAACTGAAACGTTAATAATGAGCAGAAATAGAAAAGAGTAATCAGGAGGACTGTAGATAGTGATTGACATTGCATTTCAATTTTTGTATATTAAAGTTGGCTAGAAAGCAAGGAGCCAGAAGGGAGTTACACAAGCAAGAAGTGCAAGAAAAGAAACAGCATAGAACTTACAGCTACATCTACCCAGCTCAATATGTATTATATATATATGCATGTATAATAGTCATATCAGCAGTAAGAAATTGATCAGATCTTGATGCCAGTCTAGTACTGCACTTAAATTCAAAAAGTCTAAGTACCATAGCAAAGAGCTCATCTGAGCAATTACCATGAAAGTATTTACAGAAAACACACTGAGGCAACCTTATGACAGTGGGAAAGTGATTGAAGCTGAGCTGCCAGATCAGGACCAATAATATCGCTGATTCTTCTTTGGATTTTATCAAGGAGCTCAATGTAAATAGCAGTAGGGCATAGGACCATATGTGGCAGCAATATTCTAAGCATGGATAAATGTTAGACTTATATATATTTGCAGGAAGCATCAAGGAAACCTACCAAAGTGGTCTGTCTAGTGTTATACCAATACAGATGATTGTCTCAGTGTAGTCTCTGTTAATAGTGACTCCATTACTAATCTTTTCTGGATAAAGGATATATTTGATTTTTTTAAATTTAATTTCCTTATCCATAAAAACAACCCTTGTTAAGCTGTAATCATTCCATGTCATATACTTCTAAAAGAAATTTTGGGCTTGAGCTGACAGAAAAAGTTTTACATATGCTGGTCACATTTATTTTCTTTGTCAAAAATGTATTAATCTCAAAGATTTTAAAAAAAAAAATTTTTTCCAGTTTTAGACATTGCAATAAAATTCTACACACAGTTGTTCAGTTTTTCCCTTCATTTTCAAAAACCAGAAATTCTGCAAAAGACTGCTACCAAATGCTGTGTAGTCTAATGTTCTACCTGACTATGGTTCTCAAGGAAACTTAATAACTACCTGCCTAACATGAATGACAGGCAAATTAGAATTGAAATTATAAGTTCATTTTGCTTATAATGCCTAGGAAAATTGAAAAGAAACAGCACCTAGTCAATGCAGCCATATTTGTTACATGAATATGTATGTATGTATTATATATATATGCATGTATAATAGTCATATCAGCAGTAAGAAAAATGGCCTTGTATAAAAAAGACCGTTTACTCAATATCTATTCATGCTGAAAATTTAATGTGTTTAATATAAGAGTAAAACAGAAGAAAAAGATTAGCAATAGGATGACAAAGACGAAACCTATTTCAAGAACAAACTGAAGAAAGATGATCAGTTAATAGACAAAGGTATCTGAGTACCTCACATGAAAGGCATGAACAAATAAGACTGCAATCTAAAAAATTTAAGAGTAAAGGAACTGATTAAATGGTTAATTTTGCTCAGGAACTAATTTTGTCTAATTGCAGATAAATATTTTATTTGTATAGATTATTAAAATGACTAAAGCAAGTAATTATACATAAATTTACTAACTTTAGTTGATTCACCTCCATTTTTCACTACAAATGTGACAGGAAATATATAAATAAATACACATTGATAATTATATGGTTTGATTTGATACTAACTTTCTGAAGATAACTTGAGTCACGTGTGGCATCTAATCTGAAAACAATCCAATCTCTGAGAGTTTCTATGTGGATTTCATTAAAAAAAACTTTGAATGCTGAAATTCATGTTTGTTTTCTGAGCTGTGATCTTTCTTTTGCACAGATTTTATGCTTAAGTTTCAATCATCTAAAAATGCCATAAAAAAGGCCATAATCAAGACAAAGTTTTTCAGTAGTGGATTGGATGATTTGTGAATTTTACAAGTATTATATAGGTACATTACTGTGTGTTGGTAATCATGTAGGTCTGGATATACACTCAGAAAAAGGGAGTAGGGACTAAAAAAATTTGGGTGTTCAGATTTCTACCAAATTGCACCTGGTCATTTAGTGAAACTCAAATAAGTATTAAAATCAAAATTCACAAACCAATTAAGCAGATGTTAAAGGTCATTGATTTTCTAACATTCTACTAAAAATAAAACCTGTTGTACCATCAGTCATAAAAAAATTTTTATATTGTATTATTAATTAATTGTGATTGTATTATTTCTATTTTTAATTAAAAAAAAAATCAAGCACTTTAGTAATCAAATTCTGAGAATAAACATTGTGGAATTTTTTTAAAATAATCTCTGATCTGTGAGATGTATTTATTTATTTACAAATGCTATCATTAAAAGATAATTTTATGTATAAATATTTTTTCTTGTATTGATTCTCTCATTTTTTTCTTCACATTTTGAATCAAAGACAGTTTACCCAGAAAGCAACTTTGCAAAAAATTCAGAAATATTAAATTAGTTAAATTGAAATAAACCCAACATATTCCGTTAAGAAGCAGACAATTCAAAGTAAGGGAAATGTGTTGTCAAACAGTTGTTTATCATGTCATGGCTTGAAATTGCAAAGATTTACCGGTTTCAAACTCTCTCACAGGTTGGTGGGAGATAATGCAGAATAACTCTCAGACCTCCTGTATTAGTGAAATCTCAAGGTAGTACTGAATGCAAACCACCAGTCCCACCTTTTAAACCAAAGGTTCATAGGCCAGGGCTCTCAGCAAAATGGAATGATAAATGTAAAGTTTTAAGAGTAAGTTTTCTGTTGGAGTTTCCTTCTCCTAGGTAGATTCTCAAACTGTAGAGATTTGTCACATGTTCGATGGAAAACAGAAGCTAAAATTAAGTGATCACTTGATGAGGTGAACATTCTTATCAGTTTTCAAAGAAACAATAATTATAAGTGAGAACATCAATAATTTAAAGGTAATTTTTATTTAAATCCCACAACAACGAAAAATCGCTAACATATAAATACTATCAAAGTATGATGTTATAATTTCAGTCCTCATCAAAATAGGGTTATATCATGAAAGTTTTACACTAAAACCATTTTTTATAGAAATTTACCATATAGCCCAAAATTTATTAGTGCCCCCTCCTCTCCAAATGGTGACAGTTTGTCTTGAAAATCATTATTCAAATCCTGGCTTTTACATGGGTTTGAGCACCAACCAATGGTATGTTCGTTTATGCTGTTCAGCTGAAAACATTGCTGCAGTGCACGAGAATGTGGCTAAAAATACAGACACCTCTATTTGCCATCTTGGCTGTTATCTAATGTTTCTTAGCCTGACACAAGCTCATGGACAGGCATCGAGTGAGGACCAAATTCACTACACTAGCAAATCAACTAGATGATCTCACTGACCATTGCACTATGGTAGATGTTTTAGTTACTAAACTATAGCTTGTTTTATTACTAAAATAAAACAGTTTCAATCAAATTGACACTTGTGCAATTTAGCTT